TCTCAGAACTTACGACCGAGAAAAATCAAAGAATTTCCTTGATTTAACTAAGAAAAATCCTCGGATTGTCGCGGGATTTTTAACAGGACACTGTCTCATCATTGGACACCCCAGTAGATTGAAGGTAAGAAACAATGGCAAATGCAGACTCTGTAGGGAAAATGGGGAATTGATGTTGAAAATTATCCAAATATGAAAGGCGTCAGCGGTGGCTATGAAATGGGAGTTCGCTGTCGTTTCATATGTAAAATTATATGCGGGGAATATCATAGATGTTAATTTCCAAGCCAACTAAACGCCGTTTTTTTTTCGATCATATGGTACAAAGAATTAGGCAACTATACTCTGTTTTTTTTTTCTCAGGTAAGATTTCGACAAACGAGGACAGAAGAACAGTAGATGACGTCCCATACCAATCTATTTTTTTTACTAAAAAAAGTTTCTAATAATTTTTAAGTTAACTATGGATGGGTTTAAATATAAATCCGTCATGCGTCGTCTCTTGTTGTTTTTAACCAGTTTTATTGGTTTATTTCAAAAATGACAGATCGTATTTCAATTTTATTGGTTTGACGGAACGATGAACGACAAACGGACGCCGATGCGTATGAACTCGCCTTTAGATTTTTGTCATTTTTGACGCTTGTCAAAGTCTTGCCAAATTATAGGTTATAATTTTGTGTCAACTTTTGTCAAATACCCTGCGTTTTGGAAGGTGTTTTGTGTCTTTTGAAGTCAAGTGAAGGAAAAATCGAGTGAAAATTAACTATAGACCTAGAGCACAGTTTATGGTTAATATTCACTGCCCAGGCAGAAAGTCTTATACACCATTAAAGTTACCGTCAATAAAGTTCGTATACCATCTTGTCGTAGATAAGTGCATCTCGAATATGGTAGAAGGACCATACGTGACCATACTAAACACATACTAAAAACTGGAGTAGCTGTAAAATATCGACATCACACGATAGGTAAATTATGGATTTTAGTACTGCAGAAAAATTATGTCAAAAGGTACTGGTTTAAAAAAATTAAGATTAAAGTAAGTTAATCAACCTTTAAGGTATAAAATTTGGTGTTATTATTAATAAAATAGTTTGTTTTATTTATTCCTGTGGAATATTACAAATTTGTATTTGTACATAAGTTATATTGATAAATATAATCATAAATGCGGGAAGTTTCATAAAGCTTGAAAGTAAGAAATAGTTTTTTTTTTATTTTCTTTTTGGTATGTGGTGTCTTGTTCTTGTTTGTTTTGTATTAACACATACCGTTTTTTATTAAATAAAATAACTCGATTACATTTTTTCACTTTTATACAGTTTTTTTTTCACAATATTTTGAAGTAATCACTTGTCAGTCAAATTTTAAATATATTAATTTCCTGCTATGCGTTCCAGTTGTACAAACTTATTTCTTTGTAAAATAAAATAAACTACTTTGAAATTAAAATGACAGACACATCTATCACTGTCAAGGATCTTCTCGTTGGACAGACTATAATAACTAATAATGTTTGTAAAATGTTACCTAAATATTTCCAGTGGATAATCGAAAATCTTCTTAAAGAAGCCTCAAAGGTTAACTGAAAAAAATGTATAAATCTCATCATTTAGTCGAGTGTTTTTTGATCACCGAAATTTATGATTCTATTTTCGAGTCGTGATCAAATTGTGCAAGATGATGTCGCGACAGAACTAAGCAGATAAGAAATAATTCGTATTGAACGAAAACAAAATATCTAAAATAAAATATTTAAAAGTGCACCAACATTGTTCGTATTATAATAACTTTTTGTTGTCAAATTGATATTTTTACAGATACCCTGACCTAAGAAAATAACTCTGATATTGTTAAATTCATTTTGAATTTGAATATAGCTAAGAACTAAAAATTTCTGGATAGGCGGTCTTTTTTAAGGGTCTTTTCTGTCTCAGCTTATTTTGAAGTGGTCCTGTTTTGTGTGGGGTCCACTACAACAATCATACTTAAGAGACAAAGTACCGAATATCGAAGGGTTTGACTAGGTTTGACAGAACAAAAGTCATGGATTCCATAGAGAACATAACAACTTTGAAATGAAATTGGGCAGGGCACATTGCAAGGCTAAACGATGACCGATGGACGAAGAAAATAATAGAATAGAGACCCAGACCTGATGCATTCAGGGGCAGAGTCCGTATACAATATCCGTCCTCCAACCAGATGGCATGACGACTGCAGGCGTATCCACAGTAACTAGATGCAAATAACTCAAGATAGGGAGTTATGGAAGCAAACGAGAGAGGCCCACGTCCAGCAGTGGACTTTAGTGGCTGGTTGATGATGATGAATATAATTTCGTTTTCATTCTTTAATCGATTATTATTGATAGAGATTTAATTAACATCATATTTTTTGCTGTTTTAAAATGTTAAAGAACCACAATTTATTTAGTTTATTACTGCGGAAAGTGTGATAATAGTTATCAGAAAGTGTAATACTTTAACAACAGAAAAACTATGACGTTAATCAAAATTAATAATAACAATCTATCAAAGAATGGAAATCGAAATTATATCTATCGAAACGCGTTTTGACTTTTAGGACTTCAGAAAAATTCCACCATATTTACAGGTTTTTTATTTTTCTCTAGAACAGTATGGAAAGTTAGAAAAGTTTTAAGGGTTTTTTTAATTTTAGAACAAGCAAAAATTTTTATGAAGAATTTTATATGTGAACGTTCCTCCTGTACAGGATGAGTCAACGATAGAGTAAAGTCCATTATCTCATTTGTTTCGAGGTTTACAAAAAAATATTAAATATAAAAGTTATAAGAAAGGTTAAGATACACATTTTAAAATTATTATACAGTATACAAGGTGCTTCAAAAAAGTGTGGCGGATATAACATATGTTTTTTTTTTTAAATGCAACACCCTGTTTGTTATTTTATTTTTAGATTCTCCGTAAAATTCCATAACTTTTTATATATAATGTTATATACCTAAAACTATAGTTTTTGTAATATTTCAATTTGTTTAAACAAATGTTAAATTGTAGTGTGGCAAAAAATTGTTAGTGGTCCCATTGTTTCTGAAGTTGGAGTACCAAAATTTGGTAGGAGGGTTTTATAGAGGTGAAAAATAAGATATATGTAAAGATATTTTAGTCAAATGATACAGGGTGTTCAAAATATATTTATGAATTTCAACTACTTAAAATTAAAAAATTTCAATTTTTTTAACCGGGACACCCTATATATTTTAATTTTTTCTGATAGGCTTTACAAAACTTTTCAACTTTTATCGAGTATGTCATATATCTATTTTTAATAGTTTGCGATTTATTCAATTTTTTTTTTATTTTTACCCAAATATTTAATACAATTACCCTATAAAATCATAGTTACCATGACAAAACAAAACTATTTATTACCTATCTTTAACAAGTAGCTTAATAACTAGTTACAATTGCTGGTATTAGTTAACATTAATTAACTTTACTCAAATAAACTAAAATTGCAGTCATAAATTTTTTGGTGTATTTCTATATTATGAAAGATGACACTTGGATTTTCCATCGGGGCGACTACTGAAGACTACTGATATAGGAATTTTCTTCGACATACAGTAACGTTTTTTTCTCGTAGTAATTCTGGTTTATAATTCATTTGGTAAAGCCAATATTACTACTGCCACGAAACCGTCCCATTACACACTGAAGATGTTTTCTAGATAATCTACAAATCTACATATATTCTTATAGTACTTAGCAAAGTATCTACTATATAATATATAGTACTGAACCAAAAAATATGTTTTTCTTGACTTGTTGGTGTATATCAGTCACATGGACTAATTCATTTCAGGAAAATCTGCATCTATTATCTCTACCATTTACACTTATTACAACAAATTAAACTAAAATTTAATTTTTTTTCTTAACTTGCTTAACAAACATGAAATTTTGATAATTATTACTTTTTGTCCTGGTAACTATAATGTTATAGCGTAATTGTATTAAAAATATGGGTAAAAATAGAAAAAATTGGAATAAATCGCAAACTACTAAAAATAGGTATATGACATAAAAGTTAAAGAGTTTTGTAAAGTCTATCAGAAAAAATGAAAATATATAGGGTGTCCCATTTAAAAAAAATGAGATTTTTTAATTTTAAGTAGTTGAAATTCACAAATATATTTTGAACACCCAGCATCTAACTAAAATATCTTTACATAGGACTTTTTCTATATCTCTATAAAATTCTCCTACCAAATTTTAGTTGTCCAACTTCAGAAACAATGTCATCATTGACAATTTTTTATCACACTGCAATCTAACATTTGTTTAAACAAATTTAAATATTACAGAAACTATTAATTTTAGGTATATAACATTATATACAAAAAAGTTATGGAATTTTACGCAGAACCTAAAAATAAAATCAAAAATAGGGTGTTGCATTTAAAAAAACATATGTTATATTCGCCACACTTTTTTGAAGCACCCTGTATACTCTATAATAATTTTAAAATGTGTATCTCAACCGTCCCTATAACTTTTATATTTAATATTTTTTTGTAAACCTCGAAACAAATGAGATAATGGGCTTAACTCTAGCGTTGACTCACCCTGTACAGACAATCCGGGGACGTACTCATACTGTAGTCAACAAATAAGTTTCCTCTGGTTAAACAGATTAATTTAAATTACCCTGTACATCGCATAATACATTGCATAAATGCTGCATCAATATCACCATGCAGGACGCAGGATCCCCTGTATAATTTCGGAAGATAGGCCTATCAAAACTTAAAAAATCAGAAAATCCCAATAGAAACGCACTCGTATCTTCATTGATAGTATTGATACAGTATTTCGTGGCCAGACCGTGACAATTAATAGCCACCACAGTCGCCGAACACTCGGTATTCCGGTGTTTAAGTCTGGCTGAGAGAGATAAGCGTCCACGTGTTGTGGCATGGTGGGGCAAAAGCCGGCTCAGACAGTCCTGCCCGTCGCTGATTGCCAGCCCGGCTCAGTTTCCAACTTCGTCAACATCTCGCCGGTCGTACTGAAAACACTAGTACTAACAGTAAATTACAATCATCTTAAGCTACACTACATCCTAAAATGTAGTATCTGTATCGCTCAAACACGAAAAGGACTTAAGAGAAAGAAAAAGAAATGAAAACAAGCAACTAAAAGTCAGAAATTCCGTCCGTCACATCAGTGAGTGTGTGGTTGTCTTTAAAGACTCTCGAAAGAAAATAGTTCGCGCTAAAAAGGAAGAATAAGTTTGAAAGTTGTTTTTTTTTTATAGAAACAGGTAAGGGAATGTGATTTATTTATTATTTTTCTGATAGTTTGGTTTGGATTAATTTTAAAATTCTATACATTATTAAAATCACAGGGTTTTACTTTTTGTTGCTTTTTTATAAATAATTGAATACGTCTATCTTAAAAAAATAATGACCAATTAACTAAAAATACATAAACACATCTAGTAACTAGTTAATATACCGTATAATTAAAAAAAAACGGCGTCCAGTTGACAGCAATCTTCATTTCCATGCCATGTCTGACGCCGTTTTTTTCGATCGCATATTATTATTTCTGTATGTTCTCTTTTTTGACAGCTTATTTAAAGATTTTTTACGAACTATTATAATGAAATATATTTAATATAACTAAACTTAAATAACTAAAATATTTTAGTCTTTGACATATCTGGTTTTCCTATTTCTGTTTTTTTTATATTCTGTAAAATGCAAGGTTTTATTTTTTGCTACATTACTATACCTACTACAGTAGACCTATAAATAATTTTTTGGCTTGTTTTTTGCCTTAAATTTAAAATATTTTAGCGTCAAATTATATCTTTAAAATATCAAAGGAATTATTAATAATATACACGTACGTGTAAAAAGAAATAAAAGATGCCAAAGATGACTTAATGCAGGAGATACAGGGTGTCCCATTTTCCCGTGTGTTTTAAGGGGTCTCTCTACGAAATTAAAGATACTACACACAGATTTGTCCTAGTCCTCTTAGTTCCTGAAATACAGGGCGAATTTAAAATTGTTGCATTTTTCAACTACGCTCGTATCTCGGTTATGTTTATAACTTATCGAGAAGGTAAAAACTGTGACAAATAGAGTTTTCCTTGTAGAATACATTGGCTTAAGTAGTTTTTCGCTGAGAGCTGTCATTCTTGAATTATGAACAAAACTTATTTTTTTTAAATGGGATACCCTGTATATTATATTTTTATTTTATTAGCGTTGTTATGAAATGTTTAAAAATATGATATACTTTATACTTATTTTCATAAATAAATATCTCATAGAATAGATCAAGAGTCTTTCATAAAATAATTTAGTACTCAGGTAGAAGTGACCAGAGGTTACTATAATTTATACTATGATAATAAAACAGCTCTAAATTGCGCAAAAAGCATAAATGACAAATATAAAATGCACTTTTATGGTGTATTTAATAATTGATATTATATATTATATTTAATAACTTTGTTATTATTACCTAGTAAAGTTATATTGAATTAAAGACAATTTATTTTGTGTTAAATGAATTCTTTTAAATATCCTACTTTTAAAAAGAGTACTTATAGATGTATTTAGTTAACAATAAAGAAAAAATCTTGGTTGAGAGATACTACAATACTACAGAACTAAGTTTTTCAGTAGCTAATCGACAATACATATACATTTTAAAATTTCTAGAATACCTACTTTTTAATATTATTCTTATACAATATGATTGAAAAAAAAACTGCGACAGCGATGGCTATGAAATGAAAATCGCTGTGATTTTATATGGGGAATGTCACCGATCGTCATTTCCAAGCCAACTGGATGCCGTTTTTTTTCGATCATTCGGTACATAGTTAAAGAAAGACATGTATAGTAAAATAATATAGTAGTTAAATGGGATTGCTTCTTAAAAAATAAACTAAATCATTCAATTCACTTATTGCATGCCTCAACACCATTTAAGATGAAGAAGTTTGTACAGACTTTTACAAACGATCTCTAAACATGCTACTATCTATGTATCTATACAAGGTATTCCCAGAAATAAGTGCAAGTATTTTAACTGGTAGTCAACCCCAGAAACACGCCTAGGTATAATTTTTTTTTTTCAATGATTTTTTTTTGAAAATTTGCATTTTTTTAGTTTTTAGATAAAAAACATAATTTCTTGGTAATATGGCAACATAGGTAGTAGATAATCCAGAAAAGATCCAGTGGTTCTCAAAATTTGAGCAAAAAATCATTTTTTTTTGGAAATTTTCAAAGTAAAATAACTCCGTTATTTTGAACTTATTTGAAAAACGATAAAGAGAAAATATTTAAAGAAGGCATCCATTTTTCTCAAAGAGACCTGGTTCAAATTAAAAAACTAGAAAAAAGACTTAGACCGAGACTTAGTAGACCGAGACTTTGAGTCTTTTTTCTACTTTTTTAAGAGAAAATATGTTTCTTTTATCGACATCCACCACCCCTTAAAATACTTACACTTATTTCTGGGACACCCTGTTTATAAAGCTGTTATTTTATCTGAAAACTGTACCCTGTATTTATTTTATATGTCACAGATCTGTTTGGTTATTGCCTATCTTTAAAAACAGAAAAACAAGTCATTTTATCTACCTTCTATCTACCTATTCTCTTATAAATTTATTATATTATGTGACATTATTAATGTCACATTAATGATGTAAATAAATTATTAGAATAGTTAGATGAGTGTCCGTTTTCATTTTATATTATTACTCAAAGTCTCAGGTTATTGTATTTCTTGGTTTTTGTTGTTACCCATAAAACGTAGAGGGAATTATGGCTTCTTAATTCCCGTTAATAACCCGTTATCCCAAGGGAGTTATGATCCTGTTATGACTTATGACTCTATTTATGGTCAGCGTAACCAAGACTATAAAAGCTTATATTAATTCAGTAGAAAATAAAGAGTTTTTTTCGGTGTATACGACTAGAAATACACTCCTGGACAAAATTATCGCACCACGGCTTATTTCTTTAAGAAAATAATAAATATCAATTAAAACAATTAAAACAGGAGTTTATTTTTGCTCGTGCGCAAAACAGAACTGGACAAAAACAATGCTTACACTATATTTTGGTGTCTAAGGTCAATTTTTTCTGAATTATTGAAATTCCTTATTTTGCATTTTTTCCTACATGTACCTAAGGCAAACAGTTTCAGTAGTACTTCGTACTCTTTAAGGTGATATTAAAAAAATACGGTTGTGAAACATATACCATTCCATCTATTGAGTATGGATAGAGCGTCACGTCATCCGACTGAAAATGAAGCTGTCCAAGCAATAACTTTAGAGAAGGTCGAAGTTACTGTTATGTGTCTGGCGATTTAGGCGTGCATCACACAACGGTTATAAGAGCTGTGCAGCGTTTTCGGGAGACCGGAACTTATACAAGAAGACCAGCACAAGGACGACATAGAGCTACTTCTAAAAGAAATGACAATTTTTGCACCTCAATGTTCTAAGAAACAGAACATCTACCAGCCGTAGCTTAAACAATTTGATTAGGGAAGTACGCCATATCAGTATTTGAGATCGTACAGTTAGAAGACGCCTCCATGAAGCGAATTTAAGTAACAGAAGGCCGGCAACTGGACCTCTCCTCACCAGACAACACCGTGTTAGTCGTTTAAGATTTGCAAAACAATACTCGGGATGGAATTTAAATGACCGGAAGCGCGTCTTGTTTACAGACGAGACGAGAATTGGATTGCGATCACCCAGACGGTCATTGTAGAGTCTGGAGAAGAGACGGTGAACGATTTGCCCAAGCATGGCGTATCTCCAAGGGAACCATTTGCTGGAGGAAGTCTTATGTTTTGGGGAGGCATCGCCTACGATGCCTGTACGGAGTTAGTGCCTCTACCTAGACCTGCCCTTAATGCACGCAGATATGTGTTAGAGATCCTTGAAGAACATGTACTTTCATTTGCGCCGTTCATAGGAGCGGATTTCTTACTAATGCATGATAATGCTCGGCCTCACGTCGCGTCGCTTTGGACGTTATTCAATACCTTAATGATGTAGGAATTACAACTTTACACTGAATCCAATAGAACGTGTCTGGAACATGTCAAAAAGGCGTTTTCGGCAAAGAAATCCTCCACCCCGAATATTAGCTGAACTGGAACAGGCTGCGCGTAAGGAGTGGGAAAACATTCCACAGGAAACTTTTCAAAATTTGATAAGAGGAATGTCACGAAGACTTCAAGCGGTTATTGCAGTTAGAGGTGGCAACACACGATACTAATAATGCATTACGGTTGTTCCTGGGGCTATTGTTTTATTTTTGTATTGAATTTGAAATTATTAAAAATCTATTTTTTCCCTAAAAATGCATTTAGTTAGTTAAATCTCGTTTTGTTGAATAGAATATGATTCTTTTTTGCTAATAAATAATGCACAGTTAACAATGTTAATTAACAAGCTAAGCGGTTCCTTATTTTGTGATGATTATTATTAAGTTCAAATACTAAGTTTACTTCCTATTAAATTAAGTAGGTAGGTATATATTTAATTCCTACTTCTGTCAATAAAATGTTACTTAAGTGGTATTTTCTCGAGAAGCAACTCGAAAATAGAAAGTGTATAATTAAGTTTATGCAAAAATATTTGACATTTTAGGAAATTTCTTCACATTTATTTAAAATACCTATTTTAAAATTGCACGTTTATGACTTTTAGACAATGGGAATTACATAGTAACGTACTACATGATATTAAACCCACAATAAATATATAACAAGAAGATTAACTTTGAATTCCAATAAGTTTGATAACAAATAGAGTAATGCTGTCTAGTCTGAATAAAAATTTCGTCATTTATTAAAAAAATTATTTATGTAGTACTAATTCAATATCATTTTATAACCGAAATTTGGCTAAAAATAACTTTAATTTTTTTTATCAAATTCACGATAAGAAATAGTAATTCTATACTAGTGCTTCACTCTCCGGTGTTTTTCAAAAGTTTTTTCGAGATAGAAAAACGAGATTTGGTTTATTAGTATATGATATAAATTAGGATTCATTGGGTGTATTCAATTAGTTTCGGTCACTTCCTGTTTCACCGGAAATGACTGCAAATTTTGATTTTTAAATGGCACCCTTGGTGTTTTTTGACTTTATTTGATAAAACTGGACCATACTGAATAGAAGACATATCATAAGTAAACTTGACATTTTCAATACAAAAAATAGCACTTTAGAGTTCAATCTAGAACAGTGATTCCCAAAGTGGTCCAGGT